CAACGACTGCCTCCGGGACTTCAGCCCCAGCGCCTTCTTTATCCTACTATTCACCACCATCATCGTCCCCCCCGCTTTCGCTCCCGGAGATCCGGACCCGTCCCTCGCAACCCCGTTGGCGCCTTTTGCGCCGGGAGATACAGGCCCATCCCTCCTGCTCTCTTCGCCCGTCACGCCGTCGCCTGACGAAGGGTACGTCATCGAGTTTCGGCCGCTGAAACCGAGGGACGAGCGGCACGACATGAAGAAGACCTCGTAGGCGGTCTCGCGGCTGGGGAGATGGAGGCGGAGCGGCCCATGGAAGGGAGGTGGGCAGCTCTCACAGGGTCAGCGCTGGCCGTTTAACACGTCAATTCATGGAAGAGGAGGGGGTGAAGATTTTGTGGGGTCCAATGTTTTTGTTGTGTTAGTTTCAACAGAGTTTCCTATAATAGATTTTGCATTGGAGGTGAGGAGAGAGAAGTGGAGGCAACACCTTTTTGCCTTTGTTGATGAAATAAGTTGAAGGGTAACCGAAAATTGAGGAGATAACAGCTTAACAAAATAACTGGGAAAAGAAAAAAGGGTGAAGAGAATTATTTATTTATTTTTTATTTTTTATGGATGAGGATGATGGAAAATAATTTAGTTAGATGTTTTGTGTTGACGGTAGAGAATCCTTAGATAGGTGTTAGTGTGTTACAGAGTTCTTTAGTTCTGTACACTGAATTCTCCTTGGTTTTTTGACAGTATAGACCTCTTTGTTCACAGGAATTAATGAAAGTTTTTTATGTGCTTTTGCTAAGCCCGTACATAGATTGAAGAGTTTTGCTCTTTGAAATTTGTCCTTCATGGACTACAAAGGTGTGCAAATATTGGATCCTATCTAGTATGTAATTTTGTGTATAATTATTGCCCATGGAATAAGGTTCTGATGCAGTTCATGTAGTTGTTTTATTTCTAGATTGGAATTTGTGATCGTGCACTAGTGTTGCAAATCTAATTCACGCTTGTTGATAACTTGATGAATTCAATGTGTTATTGCTGTCTCATTGAATTTTGAAAATTTCTCCCCTTGTTTTTGTTGGCAATTTACGCCGAAACCCCTAAGACAGCAGAAACGTAGAATAGAAAAAGTATACTAAGTTTAACGAGGTTCTGTAACTTCCTACGTCCTCGGGAGCCACACAACTAATTTCTTATTAATCCCAACAAGGAATTACAATTCAAGAGCGAATCTCAAACTTGAGATTCCTTAATAAATATAATCTTTCACTGTAGCTACAGTGAAGATTCCCTTCTTCATTAATACCTCTTTAATTTCTTTCACCCCTCTTTAATTCCCTTCTTAAAGTCTCCCCTCAAATCCTTCAATTGAGAGCTGGAGAGAAAAAAGGGAACGGAACAGAGAGAGAAAGAGAGGTCCGCCGCCAAAGGGGGGTTTTCTTGAGATCGCGAGAGAGAAAGCACTAGGGCTAGGGCACAGGGTTTCCCTTTTATAGGGAAACCCTAGGATAGCTAGCAATAGGCTGTCGTTGCATGTCAACGATCTCGCCTGCGAGGAGCTCGAGCTCGCCCGTCTCTTGTCGAACTCGCCTGCAAGAAGTTCTCCAATCTCGTCTGCAACTTGTCGCGAGCTCGCCTGGAGTTCGCCAACTTGACCTCGCCTGCTCGAGCTCGTCCAACTTCGCCTGAAGCTTCTCGCCTTCAAATCTCTCCTGTTGGTTTCCTAGAGCTCGCCTGAAGGTCGTGAGCTCGCCTGCAGCTGCGGATTTCGCCGTTAAGGTTTGGTCGACACTCCAATTCCAACAGTTTTTGCCCCAGTGAAGGTGACTCATGTGGGCAATCTTTCTTCGAGCCAAAATATAAGTCATCCACCTTTCCATTATGCTTTGTTTGGGAGTTTGGTAAGGAAAGGGACGGAAAGTTAAATAATGGAAAAGAAAGGTATGGAATGAGAGTAAAAAGATAGAATGTTGTTTGAGAGTTTAGTAAGAGGAACAGAAGTAAATTTGTTTTATCTTGTTTGGAAGTTCTAATAAAGAGGATGGAAGTGAACTGAATATGTATAAAGTTATATAAATGCCCTTATATATTAAATGAGAGTATATCTTTACCATTGATTTTAATGTCATAATGGTATAATTGTCTTATCACATTGTAAAATTTTACATTGATTTGTATTCCATCCTCTACCCTTCAAACTGGAGGGGAGGAAAATGGAAGGAAATTTAACCTTCAATTCCACCCTCTAACCCCTAAAAAAAAACTCCCAAAAAAGGTGAAATTGAAATTTTACTTTTAATTTCCATCCATTAACCTTCATCCAAACAAGGTGTTAAGTTACAGGTCACTAAAAAAATTGATTCTTCAACAATATTTCTAGATCTTCTAATATTGGAGAGCATACATAATAGAATATTCAACAGTATTTCTAGATCTTCTACATACTGTGTGAACATTATACACTTATTTGTGACTCCTGCAAGTTGCTTTCAGGAAGGGGAAAGTAAGTAAGCCATCAAAACTATCAGATGGTAACAACTTATCTCAGACTGTCATGTTATCTTGATGATCACGGGGACTGGAAAGCCATTGATATATGGGAGGATGAGTTTTTTTTTTTTTAGCTCGTCGGCCCAAATTTTTGGTTTTGTTCATTCGGAATATTTTTTTTCGGGTAATATCGTTTCAGGTATTGGTATTTTGTTCATGGAATTGTAAGATTTTAAAGACATTCTGTAGTTTCAGTAGTTGGAGATCTTATTAACTCTTATTAATGAAATGCGAGACGCTTATACTCATAATTTTCCCTGAAATGGAAAATGCTCCGTGGTACCAATATGAAATGGATTCTACTCTTTATTTTTTGCTGCATAAAAAAATTGATCTATCGACTGAAATTTAGACATTTGTGCTCATTTGCATGTAAAGGCTAGAGTTTCACTAATTTTTAAAAATTTGATTTATTCACTCAAATTTAAACATTTTGTGCTCACTTGTGCTTAAGGGCTAAAGTTTCACTAATTTTAATGTATTATACCTTTCAGCTGCTTGATCGTTAAAGCTTTAAACGCTGAAGTTTCACTAAGTTAGGAAACTTCTCTATCTTGATTGCCATGAGTCCCTTTCTTCTTCCTCTGACTATTTAACCGAAATACTTCTACATCTTAAATTCAACCCAACTAGCTTAACCTTCAAAAAATGAAGCTCACCTTGCCACAAATTCAACATGGTTACTCATAAATCAACTGAAATTAATTAATTTGATCGTAATTTGGTTTTAAACCCCAAATTAATCTAAGTTAGTAACGATTTTAAAGATTGGTGAAAATTGAAAGAAACTCTAAATTTGTAACACAAGAAGGGTGCAAAATTGTAATAATCATTAAGCAATGATGATAAGACTACAAGAGTTACATTGCTCTTATTATGTGAGACGCGATGTGGTGTCCATTCTTATAATTTATAATGAAATACCTATTATTATTGCACGCCAAGCGATATAAACTTAGTTTTTATCCATTATTTCTATTATGTAAAATTTTACATATAGTAGATTTGGTTGCAATGCGAGATCTTAAAATCTAAAGAAACTATCCTATCATGTAGGAAACTATAGAGCCCATCCACTATTAATATTGTCCGTATAAGTTCTATTTCTTTTGTTATAGAATAAAGTGCATGTTCACAATGCATATGATAAAGACTATGTATTTATTTCGTATGATTTATATTGTAATAAAAATAGAAAATTAAAAAAAAATATGGAGAAACAGGGCCTTATCAATACTTACAGTATTTTTCATCTAATCCCTATTATTAATCCAATGCATTCTCAAGGAAAACGTTATTGGAATTTATATCTACCATGTGTTTTGAATAAATCAATTGTATTTATTTAAAATTTATGTCTTTTTTTGTATATTTTATGAAAGTGCATTTGTCAAAAATTTGTTGTCATCCTCTTTAAATCGTCATAGATCTTTAAAAGTCATCATATAACTTTAATTCGTAATAAGAAAAATGCGGTTCGTGCCAAAAAAAATTTCTTTCATTTATTTATTGATAATTTCCATCTCATTCTAACTATTATCATGTCCTGATATGATTTTTAATATAAATAGTACAGTCAAATGAATTGTTGAATTCAAAAAGTTATTTTTGTACTGCCCCAAAAAAAAAAAAAAAACACAATCTCCCTCTCTGACTCCAAGAACAAACCACGAACTTTTAACTGCGACAGTAATAAATTTATTTATTGTTTTGCAGCAGATTAAACCATAACCATAGATTCTCTCCTCTCCTCTCCTCGTGCGTATCGATTCACTCCGAAGATTTTTTTTTTAACCCAAAAATAATTTCCCTTATAAAAACCGCGGGATTTCCCCCAATAAAAACTCACTCACCCTAAATTGTCCTGTAAAACCTCGATCCCCTCGTCCCTTTTTCGATCCCAAAATGGCGAAAAAGGGGCCACAGGGCTGCAGCTCCCCGCGCTTGGGCGGGAGATCCCACTGCAGGAAGCATTGCAGGAAGAGTAAGACCGAAATCATAGTTCCGAGGATCAAGATCCAGGAGGAGGAGAAGAAGAAGAAGAGTAGTAGTAGGATCGGAATCATCGAAGCTCCCAGGACCAAGACCGAGAAGAAGAATAATGACAAAAATATTGAGATCAAAGTTCCCAGGATCAAGATCGAGAAGGAGAAAACCGAAGCTCCGAAGATCAATGCTGATAAGAAGAAGAGGAAAGAACCGAGCTTGCCAGCAAAGAGGAATGGGGTTTTGATCAGTAAACCCTCGGGATCGAAGAAGCGGAGGACGATGGAGGAGATCAACGCCGGTGTTAGGAGGGAAAATGCAGGGAAGGTAGAGGATGAGAGAGCTGTCATCAGAGTGACAGAAATAGGGCAAATTTGGGCATTCCCCAATTCGTCTGACGGAGGATTCCCTCGCTCCTACGCCCGAATTGATCGCATCATCCCGATCCCTTCGCCCACTGTCGAAGCCACATTGTTGGTCCCCGAGACTATCCTCGAGGAAGAGAAGCAGTTCGCTGAGCACGGGCTCTCCTTGTCCTGTGGAAAGTTCAAATCTTTTGGAAAAACAATTACTAAAGACATTGATCTGTTCACTCATGAAGTGAAATGTGAGGTCGAAGAAGGAGAAGGGAGTTGTTTTTATAGGATTTTTCCGAGGAAAGGGGAGGTTTGGGCTGTGTACTGGGATTCTGAGTACAAATTGGTGGAGATCGCCTCCGATTTTAGTGAAGAAGACGGTGTGAATGTGTTTGGATTGATTAAGGTTGAGGGTTTGAATGGCGTTTATCAGAGACAGTTGCATGAAGGGTTTTATCTGATCCGGTGCTTCTCGAGGAGATTCATGCCGATGTTTTCTCATCGAGTTCTGGCAACCAAAATCGAGGAAAGCGTGGAGATGCGATGGAAGGTTATGTTTCATTGATCAAAGGAGAGATGGGTTTAAATTATGCTGATCATGAAGGTATCATATGTCCTTTTATTATTCAAGATACCCAATATTTATGTCGACGCAAGGACTTCCACCTAGCAATGTGCATGTAAAACTAAGGTACTTGTGAAGTCACATTTTCTCTGCTTTAAATAGGGTTTGTATCCTCTCTTCTGTGAGTAGATAGTTTATCTATTTAAAGTAGTTAATTTTCCTATGTTTATCAGCACATTATTTTTCTGCATCTTCTATAAGGTTGCACGTGTATAATATATACTTATCCGTTCTCTGTTTAAGCTTTATGTAAGACTGCTATAATAATCGTGATAAGGTTGGTTCAGTAAATTTTCAGGAAATTTGTCCATTGGAAAGGTGGGAGTATATCCAGCAAACTTGTTTCAAAGCCTTCAAACAATTAATGAGGGTTATCCCTCCAAACACACCATATAAGCATATCAAATAAAGTGGGCTGTTTGTTAATAACTAGCTGGTCGTATTGGAACTTTGGTTGATCTTATACCATTTCAAAATCTTTTCTTCTGCACTAAAACTCCAAAATTGTGGTTTAGAGTTTGGGGCTAATGATTTTATACCCTGTCTCAAACACACAAACTGGCACGCCAAAAGATGGACCATTGCTTGAATCATTTAACATACTGAATGCAGGAACCATTGATCAGAGGCCATCCATGCAGTTAAGCTGTAAGGTCAGGTACCAGTTCAACTGTTCTCCTATTTTCCCTAAAAGGAATAGAAGAAATTTTGTTTTAGGTGTTCATAGTTTCAAAGTGCATGTATTATTCATCCAGACTTGTGTTATCGTCTACAGAAAATTCTCAGGTTATCCCTCAGTGTTAGTGTTGTGAAACAGATATAATACAAATAGAGATTTATACTAAATTTGTTGCTTTCTCTATGCAAATGTAGCTTGGAACTGTTCCATCAGCATGGCAAGGTATAGGAACATTATTGTAAACTTAATGCAACAACTAGGTTCATGATGCATAAACTTTGAAGTCTATTATGATGCATGTCAAGAGGAAGATGAATTGACCTTTATTGATTATCTCTTTTTTCTTTTTCTTTTTTTTAACCTTCACTGATTATCATTCGGTGGTATGGCTGCTGGCACGAACATGGAGATTGAGCAAATGCATATTAAAACCGCATTCCTCCATGACTAATTTTGGAGGAGATCTACATGGAACAACACGAAGATGTCGAAGTCAAAGTAGACTTTGTATGCAAAATTGAAGAAAAGTCTATATCGCCTCAAGCAAGCTCCTCGGCTATGGTACAAGAAGTTTGATATGCTTATGGGGTATCAAGCGTTCAAAATAACGACTTCGGATCATTGTGTCTTTATGAAGAGTTTTGATGATGACACTTTCATCATTCTCTTATTCTATGTTGATGATATGTTGATTATTCTGCATAACAAATCGAAGATTGGAAAGTTGAAGGAAAGGTTGCGCAATTTTTTTGCAATGAAAGACTTAGGATCGACAAAGCAAATTTTGGGCAGAAAGATCTTCCATGATGATAAAGCGAAAGGCAAAGAAGAAAGATCTTCCATGATAATAAAGCAAAAGGCAAATAAGTTGTGGTTATCACGAGAGAAGTATCTTGAAAAGATGTTACAAAGATTTAGCATGAAGACAGCGAAACAGGTTGATTCTTCACTTGCGGGTGTCGGCCTCGAAGTAATATTCTTCAAGCTTGATGCATGTCATGAAGAATGTTCCTTATATGTTGGTATTAGAAGTTTGATGTATGTCATGGTGTGCACAAGGCCTGACATGCACGTAGCATGGGCTTGTTTAGTTGATTCCTTGCAAGTCTGGATAAAGGGCATTAGGTGAAGGTAAAGTGGGTTTTTCAATATTTTAGAGGTATTTTAAAGAAGTGTTTATGCTTTGGAATAGATGAACTAGTAGTGGTTGTATATACGGATGCCAACATGGTCAATGACAGTAATAGTAGAAAGTCTACATTGAGATACTTGGTTACTGTGAGTTGTGTTATGACAATCCAAATTGGTAAATTGCTTTGCATCATCTATTGTGATCGAGTATATGTGGTTGTCGAAGCGTGGAAGGAGATATTATGTGTGGAAGGAGATATTATGTGTGAAGCGTTTTTTGAAGAATTGAGCATGAATCAAAACACTATGTTTTGCATTGTGATAGTCAAAGTGAAATTCAAGCAATAATTTGAGTTTCGATTCCAAGTCCAAGCACATTGACGTAAGGTATCACAAGATGTGCTTTGTCAACAAATATAAAATATGATTTAAACCTATAAAAAAGTAGTTGATGTGTTGATGAAGAGCATGCCGATCGAGAAACAAATATTTTGCCAGAAGGAACATCACCTCTTGCCCCCTCCTTTGGTATGTTGGAGTGGGTACAAATGGAATACTTATTCTCAATTCTTATTCATGCGTATCAAACATAGCATGTTTTTGAAAGCTAGAATGTTCATTCTCACTTCTCATTCGTTTCCACGTTATGTGAGTATGAGCATTCTCTCTAAGTTGTTAGTATTTGTTTGTAAAAACAAGATAGCCCCACATCGGGTATTTGAGCATTCTTTTAGAGGTTTAAAAGTATTTAATGATTATTGGGCTTTGATAAATGGATCAAAGTATAGGCTTCTAAACCCGCGTGCGGGTAGCACGAACAATGCACGATTTTGACGCGATTATTAGACGCACTTAGCACTTTGCATGCTTGTCGCTACCGCTTAAATATTATAACTTTTAATATATATATATATATATATATATATTTTTTTTTTTTGAGTATATTATTTTTAATGTTGTTTGTTGGAAAATTTGTAATAAGAAAATGAAAGAATTGAATTTGATTTATTCTTTCTAACTGCTTAGAAAAAGAATGTTTATATCTCTCTCAATCTCCAACTGATTACAATTTGAATTTCAGATTACAAAAGAGAAGAAGATCAGCGGAGATCTTCCCCTTTGTTTAATTCTGGGTTCTTCACGGTGGCGATGGAGTGCCTCCCTCGAATGTTCGCGTCGATTTTGCTCTTCGTTGACGATTTGAACGTCTTCCTTTGCTGGGACAATTAACTTGCGTGTCAAGTTTGAAAAAGAACTCTTAACGAGATTATGAACTCAGGATGAGTTGGAACTCTACGAAAAGAGTTATTTGAACCGAAGATTCGGTTAATAGCCAAGTGAATTTGCTGTTGCTGAAGGATGCCTCAAGATCTCTTTGTTGCCAAGAAGATGATCCGAAGAAGCTGATCTCTAGATCTCGGAATGCCCAGAGATTCGCAGATGAAGCCCCTGGATGATCCGATCCAAGATCTTGATTCCAGATCCAAGATCCTCCAACTCTATTCACGAGTTTGATTATTTATAGGGGAATAAGAGGGTGCAACCGCCTCCTTAAATCTCTCCTTAATGAGGATTTAATGGGGTGTAACTGCCCCCCATAAATTTCTTCATGATAGGGTGATGATCCCCTCAAATCGTTGGGAGAAAATGGTTTCTGGAACCGTTCAACTCGTGTTTGAACGAGTCAAACATAGAAAACGACGTTCTGGGTCCGAACTCTGCGTTTTAGACCTGAAACGCAGAGTTGGGCATTTCCAGTTGGCTCAAAACGCAGTGGCTGCACCGCTTTAAGAGTCTGAGACGCAGGGATGAACTCTACGTTTGGATCCAGAACGCAGAGTTAGGTTCTGCATTTTGGGCTGAAAACGCAGCAATGAAGTTTACGTTTTGATGTTGCAACGCAGGGAGGACCTATGCGTTTTGATGTTGAAACGTAGGTCTGACCTCTGCGTTTTGATGTTGAAATACAGGTCTGACCTCTGCGTTTTGATATGAAGAGACCATCAATTTGTGGTATCTTTTACTAGAGCGTTGCAAAGATCATCATCTTATAACCTTCGTCTTAGCTCCTTAAAAATATGAGAGTCGTCAGATTGTAACTCCCGATGTTGATTGTGAAGGCTGTTGAATTAGAGCTTTTATCGGTTGTTGTGAAGGTCATCAGATTGTAACCTTCATTGATCTACGTGAAAATCTTCAAATTGTAGCTTTCTGAAAGCCGTCAAATTGTAACTTTCATCATCAGTGTTTGATGAGGATCAGATATCTACAGTATTTTTTAGACAGCCTACAGAACCCCCTCTAAAGTTTTCAAAAATTCACGGTTGACTGGGATGAATTTTCGGAATACTTTCAATCTCAACTCTGATCTTGGAGCTGTTGATTTCTTGTCATAAAGGAGTTATTCTCTGCACCCGCTTCGAAGGCATCTTGGTTGAAGGATTCGCCACGCAGGACCTGTATGAAGGTATACGTCATAATCCTACTTCTGGAATGCGGATGTGGACCCCTATATTTTCAACTTGAGATGCGGGTCTCACCCTTGCGTTTTAAATTGGAATCCGGGTGTGACCTCGGCATTTTGTTTTTATTTTTTACAACGCGGGTCTGACCTCGGCGTTTTGACTTGAGACGCGGAGGCGACTTTCATGCATTTTTGACTAAATCTTTGAGACTTGTCTTTAGCTTATATGTTTCAAGTCTCGGCTCACATCCATTAAGCCGATGGGCCTGCAAACATGCATAGGATTTTTGGCAAACCCTCAACCATCAACGGATTTGATAAACCTTTACCGACTACCGTTTGAGTCGGGCTAACATGTGAATTATTTAAATCTGTTTCACATGTAACGTTGTGCTAAGAGAATGAACCCTCTTAGACTTGATGCTATTATTTTGAATACATAGACTTTGTCATTTTCGCGGGAACGGACCACCCGACAGCATGTGTGAGATGTAGATTTATCTCTATTAGGGATCGAGATAAAGTCTCTCATGTGTGTAAGGTATGGATTTTGGCGTTATTAATAACGACCTGCCACGATGTTGAATATATGGGCTTTTGTCCATTTTACGGTCAAAGACTAACCGGCAATGCGTATTAGACGTTGACTTAGGATTTTTGGCTAATTCTCAGCCATAAATGGATTTGATGTGCCTTTACCAATTACCGTTTGAATCGGGCTAGCATGCAGATTATTTAAGTTCGTTCTGCATGTAACGTTGTGCTAAAAGAATAAATTCTTCTAGACTTGGGGCTATGATATTGAATACGTAAACCTTATCCTTTTTGCGGTAGAAGACTAACTGGCAACGCGTGTTAAGCGTTGACTTATCCCTACTTAGGATTCAGGATAAAATTCCCCATACGTGCGAGGTATGGGTTCAGAGATTATTAATTTAATGATAATCACGGGTTATGATATTGAATACGTAAACTTTGTTATTGTTTCTTCCTGTGTCATATTTTCACTTGAAACACTGAAAGAAAGTTGGAAGTGCCAGAGGTGTAGTATTAACTTAGCATGAATTTTCACTTAGAGTGAAATTCAGAAATTTTCTTCATTATCACTAGGATAATTCTAGAAAATCTCTAATTCACTGGGGATATTATAATAAAAACTTGCTATTCTTGTTGAACAAAGATTAACAAGTTCATTGGGGGGTTTGACTATTAGAGATGTGATGTTAACCTAACAGTATTTTATAGGCCATCGCACTATTGAAGAGAGTCGATAAGCTGATTTGGCTTTCAGAGGTGTAATGTTAACTTGACGGGTTTGTAGACCTATTGCTCTATTGAAGAGAGTCGATAAGCCATTTGTTCGTCAAAGATGTGATGTTAACTTGACGGGTTTGTAGACCTATCGCTCTATTGAAGAGAGTCGATAAGCTAATTTGGTCGTTAGATGTGTGATGTTAACTTGACGGGTTTGTAGACCTATCGCTCTATTGAAGAGAGTCGATAAGCTGATTTGGTCGTCAGAGGTGTGATGTTAACTTGACAGGTTTGTGGACCTATCACTCTATTGAAGAGAGTCAATAAGTTGATTTGGTCGTCAAAGACGTGATGTTAACTTGACGGGTTTGTGGACCTATCGCTCTATTGAAGAGAGTTGATAAGTTTATTTGGTCGTCAGAGGTGTGATGTTAACTTGACGGGTTTGTGGACCTATCGCTCTATTGAAGAGAGTCGATAAGTTGATTTTGTCAGAGGTGTGATATTAACATGACATGTTTGTGGATCTATCGCTCTATTGAAGAGAGTCGATAAGTTGATTTGGTCGTCAAATGTGTGATGTTAACTTGACGGGTTTGTGAACCTATCGCTCTATTGAAGAGAGTCGATAAGTTGATTTGGTCGTAGATGTGTGATGTTAACTTGACGGGTTTGTGGACCTATCGCTCTATTGAAGAGAGTCGATAAGTTGATTTGGTCGTAGATGTGTGATGTTAACTTGACGGGTTTGTGGACCTATCGCTCTATTGAAGAGAGTCGATAAGTTGATTTTATCAGATGTGTGATATTAACATGACAGGAATTTGTTACGGTCTGATCAACTTTGAGGATCTATCATGCTATTGATGCGGATTGATAAGTTGATTGTCAGAGGTGTGATATTAACTTGATGGGAATTTGTTACGATCAGAGCAACTTTGTGGACTTATCATCCTATTGACAATGATTGATAAGTGAATTTTGTCAGATGTGTGATATTAACGTGACAGGAATTTGTACTTGTGATTTGAACAAGATTTTGAAGACTTAGCGTCTTGTTGGGGAAGATTGCGATTTTGATTATGAGGATGATGATCGTCAGAATTGTAATGTTAACTCGACGATGTGAAAGATTCGTTACTCTTAATCCAGTGGATTTTAAATAACCAACCCCCAGTCTTGACTGAGACTTAACAGGGGAAGAATTTTGAAGTTGATAGAGGTATCATGACAACTCAAAAAATTTATTACTCATAATCCAGTGGACCACAAATAAACCAAACCCCAGTCTTGAACAAGTGCAGGGGGAAAAGGGGTAGATAGGGCACATTTTCTAGTGGGCCACTATTCATCAAATCGTTCAGTGACATTGGAGTATAACGACTATGATTGGAATACGCCACACAGCATGTCGTTATC